CAATATAATGTTTCTCTCGTAAATTCTCTTTTTTTTAAACTTTTTTCAACTTTTAAATTTCAATTCGCGTTCGTTTTCATCATCGATATCACGATTTTTTTCGAATTTTTACAAGTCCTTAATATATATTTTTGATTTACTTCGGATTTTCGTGGATTTGCGTGGAATATACATTTTTTATAGAAGAAAAATAAAAGAGGAAACGACGTAATTTTGAAACGATAAATGATTCAAAATTTTCAACATAGAGAATAACTTAAATATTTAAAATTTAAAATTTTAATATTCCAGTACGTGAATTTATTATACATAATTGGAAAATAATTTCATAAATTAAAATTCAACGGTATGAAAAACGATATATAATGTTATATTATTATTATTATTTTAATTCATGTATAATTTATACATAAAATTTTTATAGAGCGAATATTTTTTTTCCTCTCCGCCACGAAAAATATTCGTATTTTCGACTGGTGACACGTTTCTTACGGAAGTGTACACATCTGTTCATTTATCATTCGAACGCTGTAAATTCTCAGCCTTCACCAACTTTGTAAATAAAATCGTGAAGAAATAAATTACAAACTGCCGCCGCACTTTCATATTTTTCAATTATATTTCAAAAAACAAATTATGATGATACGCTTATGATATCTTTAAAAAAAAAAAAAAAAAACCCTCTAAAATAATATTACTCCGAAATTATTGTTCACAAAATATTATTCGACGAGAAAGAAATTAAATTTCTCGATTTTAAAAAAAATTTTAATCAACCTATTACATTCTTTCAATTGTATTTTTTTGTTCGCAAAAGATTGTGCTATTGAATTCTGTTTACACGCATATATTTACATGCAAATTATCGATTATTTACATAAATTATTTACATAATAATAGCAGTTGGCAGCCGATTGTGGAAAGCTTATCTCGAAAAGTCACTTCCTCGTCGAATTAAATACGTTGTAGAAATTAAATTTCTTATAAAAACTAATTTCCTTTTTTTTTTTTTTTTTTTAAAAAAAACAAAAAAAGACGCGTAACAAAGAAAACGAAAGATACCGAGTGCTAAAATTTTTATTGGCATCGATATATAAATTAAACGATACGAATTCGTTAAAAAATTGAATTCGAAATGTTTTCCGTGTTCTAATATTTAATTCAAGGTTATATTAAAATTCGTGAAAAGATAATTTCTGACAAGTGTCATGTGTACATGGTCAACAACCTGATACAGCATACGTATAGAAACAATCGATATCATTATCACGCGTGCAAACAGATGATAAAAAATGTTTTGCAAATAATTAAAAAAAAATTGAAATTCGATCGGCCGTTATCGCGTAAAAAATTTTCGAAGAAAAAAGTTTTCGAAGAAAATCGAGAATAAAGAGAGAGGAAGCACGAGGAAGAATTATAATCGTGCATCGTGTTGTGAATCGTTTCAGAGTCTTCTTACCGCAATTCCAAACCATTCCGTTTCGATGCTTTCTAACCAGCAGCACCAGTTAGACGTGTACACGGAACCACTTCCACCGATGAAATAAGCAGTGGAAGCGATAACCTGTGTTAACTTCACCCGCAAAAGACAATGTGCACATCGTAGATACACATCGATACAACTCTGTTGACAGTTGATTAGCTACACTGCCGCACGAAAATTGCTCAACCGAATGACGGCCTAGAGTAAATAACACTTTACACTCGCGCGACAATCGGAATGCAAATATGCTCCCTTCCCAATTTTATTCCCCGCTTAGGATCAATATTTTTGAAACGATATACGTACATACCGGGGAGAAAAAAAATTTTAAATCCGTTTTAACGTTTTTTTAACGAATCGTAGATATTTTGAAACATCCTGTACATCAATATATATATATATATATACATATATTGTTAATCATATTCGTTCCCATTACCATAATACGAAGCGAATAATATCGTACCGTATCGTTAAAGCTGGTTATTTTCAATAATTGTCAACTTCAATTTTCAATAAATCCTTCGTTCGTGCGAAGATAAGATAGAAAAAAAAAAAAAAAAAAAAAAGAAGATACAAAGACGCCGCTCATGACCCGGTTATTAGAAATCATGATGGTGGAAACGATCCCGCTTGAAATTTCCTGGAATCGGTTGTAAATTCGTTTTACGATCGGCAAACGTAGCCTCTGGAAAACGGTGGAATTTCAATGGCAACCAACCGTTTTGCACGACGCCACTCAGGAATTACACTCGCGTAACGATAGATCGGGATGAGGATCGATCGTAAATCAGAACGTCACCTTGCCACGCGCAAGGTAGCCGTGTACACCGGTGCTCGAGGAGATAACGTCAGATGCAGGAGGATCCAAAGTCACGGAGCAAATCACTCGACACGAGTCCACGAACGTTGGTTCCTTATGTCGTGCGCAATTTTGCAATGCGTTGGAAGTCGCGAGATATCGACTTGCTTCCGTTGAAACGTGTTACAGAACGTTTCAAAATTCGTGCTCCCGATTGAATTTCAACGGGAACGGATTCGTTAACTCGATGCTTCTTGATTTCGAGGTCAAGGAATTTCGATCATTGAGAATTTTGGTTCGATTGATTACAGAGTGTTTCAAAATTTATGCTTTCAATTCGATTTTGAAGGCAAAGATGTGATAACGTTTTTGATATGGAAATTTTTGCTGGAAAATTGATTATCGAGAATTTTTAATCGTTTATTACGTTTAAAAATTTTATGATTAAATTCGAGATGAAGAATGATGAAATAAAGAATGCTGCAACTTTCACGAACACGTTTTCGGCTATAAAAACGTCGAATAATTATAAACATTCTTATAATTATATATAGAATTCTATAGTTTCAAAATAAAAACTATAGAGTACACAGTGATTAATCAATTAATGATCTTTTCATAAATATTTCCAATCGATACAACAGCATCCAACGAGCTTATAAGCGTGTCAAATGATTCTCGTTACTATATAGAATGTTTCAAAATAAAAAAATTATAGAATACACACGACAATTAATCAATGATCGTTTCACAGACACGTTTTCAATCAATATAACAACATCGAACGATTATAAATATGTCAACGACTTTTGTTACTATACAGGACGTTTCAAAATAAAAAATTATAAAATACACAACAACGTGACAATTAATCAACGATTCTTTTATA